TCTTATTGACTAATTTAATGATCCTTTTTATTCATGCATCTTGCGTTAACCGCGATCAGGCCTTTGTATCGTCCTGACGTGAGCAATTATTACGATACTCCGGTCGGAGGTAAGACCTCAGCATTTCCGGGCGCATCATCGGGACTCGCCATTCATGCTTCGTTCTTCATTCACCCTGAAAATTGCGCGCGAACGTGCAAGGAAGAAGACGCACGAGAGAGCGGTAATCCTGGGCGGCCTGAGAGATCATATCGCGAGAAAGCACAAACACCAAAGACTATCGGACGCGCCGAAAGAAGATGGAAGTGAAACGTGGTGCGGAGAGAAAGAAAGGCGAAAAGAGGCAAATTCTCGTCGATCGACTTTTTTTTTTTTTTTTTTTTTTCGGCACCTAAATCCGGGGCTCTATTGTAAATCCCGGTCCGAGGCAAATTACGGCACGATGCGTGCGTGCGAAACAGAGGCTCTGCGGCCGGCGACGTTACGCTAAACAGATTTCCTCCTCTTGCAAATTCGCAAACGTCCGCGGATTGAATGGAGCAGCCGAGATAAAGGAGCAGCGCGGGGAATGAATGGCAACGTGAATGAGAGCGGGTTGTGACGGGCGAAGACGAGAGGCGAGACGGAAAGGAGGGAGAGAAGAGGCGCGAGAATGCAAATCGAGCGAACGAAATTACCGGTGATGGTCATTGAAGTCGAGCAGCGGGCATTGTCGATCTCGGTTTCGCAGATTGAACTCCTCCGAGTTTACTGACTCCCGGCAGGAGGAGAATATCGATGTAAGGGGGAACAACGCGCGTTACCGCGAGATGGGAAAGAATCTCTCTCCAATTCTTCACGCTTCTTTTTTCACACGAACAGTTTGATTTAATTAAGCCATCAAGCGCAACGTAGATACACATTTGCTGCGAGTTATAATTATATTATGTAGTGTGAAATTTTTGATATTTTTTTTTAGAAAAATACGGAAAATAATATCGAACATAAAATAGTTAATTTACACATCGTCACGTTATAAAATATTTGAAAATGTATTTAATAAATTTTTTCACACACGCAATATTGAAGCTCCGCTCTTTAGATATTTTCTTTCGAGATGTCGAGAGAATCGAAGCGGCGGCGTACAGACAAGATCTCTGTCGAGAGATTGTCGACGTCCCCGAGAAGAAATACTATCCTCGAGACAGGATACTCGGTATAAGAAGAAATCGTATGGATGGTAAGCGATACGCGCGAGTTTCCTGCGTAAGACTTCTCTCGCGTTCGGTACGTTACGAGGCCGGTTTATGTGTACATTGCTCGATATATCAAGAGATCCCGTATATAGATCGGGGGAGCCTCGCAATATACAATATACAATATATACATATATATATATATATATATATCGAGACGATGCGGCAATATCGACTTACATTACACGACCGAGCGACTATCTATCTCGGTGGGAACCGAAGCCCCACTTCGGAACTTCTTGAGTTCTTCTTCTTAACGGCCGTGATCTCTCGGCTCACTCGGAGTCTAAAATCTCGCGCACGCCACGTCGATCGCTAGCGAAGGACGAGGTCGACGAGGTGGAACCGACGCTCGCTGAGAGCTCGTCGAACTCTCTCACTCTCTTTCTCATCTCGAGTTCTTTGAGGAAAAATCCGCCTGGTTACAAGAAAAAACATTTATTTATATCTAAAAATAAGGGAAGAATTAATTATTCCAATTAGCTCGAACCATCCAATTAAAATTCAATAACTCGTCGAACTTTCTCGCTCTCTTTCTCATCTCGAGTTCTTTGAGGAAAAATCCGCCTGGTTACAAGAAAAAAATATTTATCTATATTTAAAAATAAGGGAAGAAATAATTATTCCAATTAGCTCGGACCATTCAATTGAAATTCAATAGCTCGAGGATGAGAGAATTTTCATATTGTTTCATGTCACGTTGACGGCAAAATGTGCATCTTGCATGTCACGTAACTCACGAGTATCAGGGTCGACGTCAGTCACGATCACCCGGCTCTCTTCTCGTCGCAGCGAAGAAATCTCTGAACGATTTTAAGCGATTTGGTCGGTAGCGAGAAGATGAGGTCGATCGAATCGCCGTATAGCGGTAGCACTCTTTCGGACAGACTCTTTCGTCTCTTCTCCCCGCAAAAGGGGTGAGAGGGAAGAACGGGGGCGGCGGCTAGATGGGAGGGAAACCGAGAAACGACGAAATGACGGCGGTCGATGGACGGTTCGTTAAGTAGATGGCTGGTCGGAGGACTAAGCACCAAAACCACCTCACTGTGGTTTCACACCCGCGGAGTGTGTGTGCGAGAGAGAGAGAGAGAGAGAGAGAGAAGAGATGAGGCTGCAGTAAACAGCTCGGAGTTTCTTTGGTCAGGACTCGTGCGTTCTTTCGGCCAGAATCGACGACTATGGATGGAGATTACGGCTCTGCGATCCTTGAAGAGCAAGAAGAAGTCGTCTCCTGAAAATCGGTCAACGGCGACGACGCGAGAGCATTGGCGTGACGATCAGCTGTGCGACTCGGAATGTCAAACCGACGACAACGAAGGCATAATAGAGAAACGTGATATCGATCATCATACATTATTATATAACAATTGAGAGATAATTTTCGGCTTAGTTGTCCGCAATAGAAGACTCTCAAATTCATATTCCTCGAGTTTAAATTCTGCACTCGTTATTTATTATATTGTTGTAACATAAATATGATTAATTCTAGTATTGTATCCGGAATAGTACATGTTAATTATAATGTACAAGTTGAAAATTGTTTCCAAAAAAATCGGAACGTATGGTCACCGTGCTCATAAAGCATCACTAAGCAAAGGAAGGAAAAAAAAGAAAAAGAAGAAGACAGAAAAAGTCATCTTTCGTCTTGAATGGAATCGAACGTCCCTCTCTCTCCTTTTCTCGCTCGTTCACTCCTAGAGCGAGAACCTCGTTCGGGGAGGGAAACGGACTATTATCCAACAGATGGTCTTGTGCCGACACCGATCCGAATAGAGTGGTGTGTTTGTGCCTTTGTTTTGTTACCGTTGTTCCGGTAATTGCGGCAAATACGCTGCCATTTTCGGTAATCAGCCCCTCGAGCACCTCCTGCGCCTTGCCACGGCGGTCCCCTTTGAGAATTCCGAAACGACCTCGACCTTCCGCTTGGTAGGCGTAACGACAGTTTTACCCGTGGACCGATCGGTCCCGACCTCGACCTAGCCTCGTGGTAGATCGGACTCGGCCGATTTGAATGATATCTGAAACTATAATAATACTATAGGCGCGTGTCAATGACTTGCAATTACGATTTTTTACTTGAAAAGCTTAAATAATGGCTTCAAAAAATATTTGACATGAAAATGTCAATTTACTAATTGACAGTATTATACGAGGACGCAACGCAACAGCTGATATATCCGGATAATTTTATTAAATAGGAGAGATTTATTTGCGATTATAATGAATACGTGAGAGGAAGATATTTTACATATAAATAGTTTTCATATATAATGATAGAGGTATTTCCCCACTGTTTGCACGCAAAAGAGGTAATTCCGATGAGTTTCGTGTTAATTTTCTCCGAAGCTATGTGCGAACGAAATATTTAGCATAACTGCGAGCTATAATTATCATCAAGCACGTGTTGTGTTAACAGAACTTCTATCAACAGTCACGCAGAGCAATTGATTTCGAAACCTTTTTTCTGATACATCTCTGCGAAAAGACAGCTGAAATGAATTGGTAATTTTTCATCGTATAAATCTGAATTCTAAAGTTTTTCTTCTAAGAATTTTTTTTTTCAAAATATCTTCTTTTTTTCTTCTGAAAGCTTAACAATTTTTTGGATTTTATATAAATAAGCTCGGCGCAATTTTAAAACAAGTTTATTAGTGATTCGATGAAAGAATTTCCAAAATAGAACGATGAACGCACCTTCGGGATTCGAGTTTTGTCATTAGTTGATCTCTTCGTTGATGAGATTCATCCATCAATTTCTTTTGCTTGAGAAACGTTTTTGTCGTTTCGAAAATCCCGCTACTTATGATGCAGATTCTAGTAAAATATAGACGCGCAGAATGAAATAATATTATACTAATACTTCCTACAAATAGAGTCGACCGATGCGAGGAATCGTGATCTGAGTTTCTTTCCTAGAAGTGAGGTCTCCTCGAGAAAAGAGAAGGTACGGCGTGAAATTATAATTATAAAATTTGTGATACGGTAAATTAATGTCTGTCGCGACTAAAATACATAGGAATATTGTCACACTTAGCGTATGCAACGAAGAGATCGCTTGTACGAAGAAAACCGCAGGAGAAAGGTACGCAAAATTCACGAGTTGTTCGATCGCGAACGATTGAGATTTTATTTTTATTATCGGAAATCGTCGTTTTATTTGTGTTAACGATCTTAATCTCATCGCGACGCGTGCATCCCACGAGATCACACTCGTATAAAACACATACACACGTTCACCAGCCGAGCGCTATTGACTTCCGTCGCGACTTCTTCGATTCGTGACTCATGTCAATTAATCTACCGGTTGTTACTCACTCGAAACTCTCCGTTACCAACTCATATACGCTTTGCTGTGCATTTTAAAAGGCACGTTTCACGGTATATGTCTCAATAATTTAATCTCTCAGATTAATTTTTAAATATTGAGTTTATTGCAAAATAAAGAAAAATTATATATACATACATATTATATAATATATATTCTTTTTATATGTATGTGTATACATATGTATATAGTAATATATAATTATATATAATATATAGTAATGCTAATTATATGTATATAATTATACATATATTTATATATTATAATATAGATGCAAAAATATAACTGTTCTTATAGTATTGCACAAATATTCCACGTGTGATGTAAAATTACGATTTGATCGAGTTAAAAGATATTATCTCATAAAATATTCATGTTATGCGTTTTATCTGCGCAATCAATCGAATCGACTAAAGAAGAAATAATTTCTTCTGTTATAGATACAGGTGTAGGTACCACGGAATGGACTTATCCATCCACAACGCCGTCTTATCCGGCACCTCCCGTCAGCAGCAGCGGGTCCTATTCTCCTTTACCAGGCGGTGCATTTTCGTATCCAGGAGAATCATTGTCACATCATCCAACGACGGAGCCGGTACCGCTGCCAACCGGTATGATCAATTAATATACGATATAAAAAGATTGAACTAATTTACACCGCTTATCTGATAATGCGATTCGCCGACGCTGTTAATTAAGACACACTTACGACGATTTAATTACATTCTGACGCACGACTCGTTCAAGGAAAAACTACGATCGTATAACATGCAATCTCCGTTTGTAACGTGCAATCTCAAAGGTGTTTTCCTTTGTATCTATTTTAGAAACTATATTACAGTCAATTGTCCAAATACGGAAAAACTCGTAAAGTCATCTCGCTGTTAATTTACGAAGGTAGAAATCACAATAAAACTCGAGAGTAACAATACATATTTTACGCAGGCGGCGCGAGTTACAGCAACTAAAATCTTAGCAAAGAATTCTCGCGTGAATGCAAAGTTATTAATAGATAACAATCGTTACGTTCGCGCAATTTGTCGTTTCACGGTATAAATTTTCTTTACGGGCAATACATAAATTATCTTCTCGAATGAAGAGGTTGGGAAATCGAAGCGATTTTCGCGTTTCTCGCTTGCAGTGCTCTCCTCGGAGAATCAGCAGGACACCTACACGCCGAACTGCGTGTCCATGTACTCGGGACACGGCACTTCGCCGACCACCTCTTTGCCGCTGGTACCTACCAGACCCAGCGACCCTGACATCTTCGCCAGCGGTGGTACGGGCAATGCGGGTAGTCCGGGTTACCACTACAGTTCTTGGACACCTGGCCCGGCGACCCCGGTCCCGGTGGCCTCCCACAACTACAATCCCAATTATCAAGGTTACTACAACAACCCGAGTCAGAATTACATCACAGGCCCGACACCTATGGTCCTCTATCCTCAGCTCTACAGCACCGTCAATCAGAATCAGATTCATTTGCATCTGCACGGTGATCTGAGCGACGAACAGGTTACCATAGCGGGCGGCAATCTCACCATCAGCAGCATCCGAGAGATCGGTGTGCTTGGAGAAGAGAGTGAACAGAGAAACGACGTATGGAGACCGTACTAAGGGAGGAAGAGGTATTTACCGATATGATTTTATATCAAATCGCGTTCTCTTATCGAACGTGAATTTTAATAGCGCGAGTTTCTGATTGTGGCAATATAATCTCTGATTAGTGCAGTGACGACATATGAATATCGACGAACAAAGATAGCAGAATGTATGTCAAATACTTTTTGGAAAAAAGCGGTGCGTGAGACATTCCGTTATTTGCTGCATGACGCAGCGCTCGAACTCTTTCCAACATTCGCGCAACCATCCGCGTGAATTAACGTAACTGTGAGAACTCAGTTGGAATAAGCGATATCCGGTATTTCGTAATAGTGATCGCGTATGAAAGTGAAAATATTGACTCGTTCACGTTGAACGTGTGAAATAAAGTAGAGAAACTTTGGTTTAAAAATGCACAACTTATAAAAAATCAACGAGCAGATCGGGGGAGATCTCATTAATCGAAAGACTAATCAGTGACTGAAAGAATCATCGCTTTATTCGCTCGATATAAAATCGAGTGGTTTGATTCTTGAAATTAGTCAAACGCTGTAACGTTGTAAATACACAAATATTTTCAGAAATGAAATAAAGTCTTGCCCGACAGGTTCCTAAATCCTTTCGCTTGACGTTTTATGAAAAAGTTTTCGCTCGTTATCAAAACCAGTCACATATCAAAATAATTCCTTCCACATTTAGAATATACATAAATAAAATTGTTTAAATCTTTTTGCATGAAATAATTTAAAAAGGTATGAGGAACGGAATAAATATATTCCGATTGTCTTTTCGAGTAGAAAAAGTTTCGCTCGCATCGTATACCGGCGAATGGGAAGGGAGAACAACGTCATCGTCGTCTCTCCCATCGCGGGGGAACGGATAACCCTTTTTACGAGCGCAGCGAGCTCTATTTAATATTTAAAGCACGCTGGAAATGACGAACGGATGGATAGTTGCGGTCTGTCTGGTCGCGACATCGCCGGTTCGCGTCGTTCCTGCGTCCCTTTATTAGCGACTCACCCTGTGCTGCTTCGTGTCAGCAAAATCCTTAAACCTGTTTCGCCTAAATTAACCCACTGCTTTATATTACAATTGATTTATTATTTTACGGAAAAAGTTACGAAAATCAAGTAGCCTATTAATCAAATTCATTTAAATTATAATTCAATTGCCTCTAAAATTATTTACATATTAATTATAGGTGAAAGGATTGAATAATAAGGATTTGCACATAATTTTCTGAATTTTTATTTCTCCATTTTCAATTTATCTTTTAATGAATCAATTTTTTTAAAGTTTATTAAAGTTTGAATACAGGAATTTTAAATTATATAGAAATCTCGAGACATAACACGCCATGAAGACGTACTATCCATCATATTCGACACAGGAAATAATAGAAAATAATAGAAGATTGTCTCTTCTAAGCGTACGTTAAAGTAAAATTACTACGTGGCTAAGAACTTAATAAGCGTCTTCTCAGCGATTTTGCCGTTTGACAATGTGTATACGACGACGAAGTAATCTTCGTAACTGGAATCAAAGGTATAATAAGAAGCTGAACGTCTATTTCTTGGTAAGTAACTCTCTTCTTCTCTCTCTTCCTCTCTTTTTTTCTAGTAGCATTGTTTGTTTCTGTAAATTACTACGAAAAGGTACTCGAAGAAAAAGGAGTACCAGCGACTTAAGACAAGAAGAAATATTTTACCGTATTCTAATTAGAAATAATCATAGTCAGTGACTTATTGCATTTTATATAAACATCCTCTGTTCATTGAAAAATCAAAACACCGTTTGAAGAATGTGCATAAATTAATTATAAATTTTTGGTGCATTTTCTTCTCTTCTTCCGAGAGTAGATTAAACGGGATAGAGCACATGTTGATAATTACGATCAGAATTGCTGTGAAAAAAGCCGGATGAAAAATTTCTCCTACTTGAACGACTTCGCACTTGGAAGAGAGATCTCTTCCAAGTGCTCTTCTCCCACTTTTCTCTCTCTCTCCCTCTCTTTGTCTCTCTTTCGCTGTAATGTTTACAGCCCCGACGCGTCCTGCGAATGGGACGCAACGAATAAAACCACGGAATAAGCCGAGGCGGCCGTCGCTCGTAAGCTTCTCTCTTTACGAGGATGACTCGACTCGCAGTCGACCGCAGACGCGAGTGTCTCCCGCCCTTTTCTGCGCCCGTTAAGACGAACTGAAATACGTTTCGTCTCGCAGGAAATGGTCGACATCTTTGGTACCAGCCGAGCATGGTCGATGGAAATAAATCGCACGATACCCGCGACCCAGATTGGAAGAAAAAATCTTTTTAAACATCACGCTAAATTTTAGACAAAATATTACTTTTGTGAGAGAGCAAATCATACATTCAGTCTTAATAACATATTTAACGATAAAGAAAAATTTACGAGATATTATCGATATGAAAAATGAAAGCTAGATCGTATATCTTTACGAACAGATGTCTCAAAGACACAACGATAATTTAAAATAATATATATCTCAGCTATTAGAATTTATTTATTCAACATTCGTACACATTTTCGTCAGATACATTTCATTTGCAAACTGTCATATATATATACCTCGTGGATGTGCTTTAGCTGCATATCCATAACGATTTCTCTCAGTCAGTCATTTCTATACTTTCCATACGTCTAGATGCGTTCTCGGGAAAAAAACAGAGGATACATATAGGCACGTTTTATTATCAATTATTTATCCCTCCATTTTTTTAAACCATCTGATGCTCAACAACATTTACAACGTTTATGGAATATACTGTACATAGAGAAACATCGGGGATAATATTTGATATAATATATATACATCACACAACGTTCAATTATATTATCTCTACGTGTCAATTGCACAAAATGAGAAATATAAATTAAATCAAGAAATAATATCCCAATTTTACGGAACGTAATGTTAAAATTATTATACATCATACTATTATCTTAATTAAATTTATGCCAGCACAATGTGTCTCAATTACGTTGTATACATAAAATATAGTCGCGCTGACACATCTCGCGCGAGAGGAAATCTATAATCCGCTGCTGACGCCTCGTCAAGAGATTTCTTTTATTCTACTCTTTTATATACATATATATAAAAAAAAGAAATGCACGATAAATAATCGCGAGTATCGATACTGACAAGGGAAAGGAGCTGCATAAAAAAAATGATACATTCACTCCTCGCGAGATCGTTTTGGCAAGTGAACAGAGGAGTGTGCGAATATCATTCGCGAGAACGAGTCGCGAGTCGCCCGCGTTCTCAAGCTCTACGTGTTGGAAGCAAAAATCCGGGCGCTACACCCGGCACTACGACCGAACCGCAAACTACAGTTAAGCGCAAAGAGCATAAAATGAGAATCGAGGGATGTGCGTGCGGAATGGATCGTAAATAAAATCCTTGTCTCGACGTGTCGACGCGGGGACATGGGGAAATGGACATCCGCGTACGAAAACGGGAACACGTCGCACACACATTTTTTTTTGTTAACAAATTCAATCAACAGTTTCGCTTCGATCCTATCAGCTTCTCTCAATTTGATCACATCGAAGATACATCATCGACAGCTTCCTTCTTTCTCATCTCTTCCTTGGAGTTTGCAAGCAACAGCTTAATCACAGTAACAAAAAATATGAAAGGAATAAATTATATCGGGCATTATGAAATCGTTCCTTTTTCAACTTTTTGAAGAGTCTTACAACTAAGGCTGCGATTGCGGAGTAAAACACGATCGCTATTATTTATTTGTCAATCCATAAAGCACGGCGATGCGATGAAAGAGAACCGAGAGACGCTGCTTCAGATTTTGATCTACGGCATGCCTGGTCAGTATTCGCACGCCGCCTACGAAAACCGGAAGTAACGGTGCTAATCGTTCGTCCTGCAAAACAAGTATCCAAGACGCATAAAACAACGATAAAATGGAATGTGAAAATAATAATGTAAATGATTTACAGACTTGTACAATTGCTCATAAATTTTCTTATTCAAAGTGATTAAATTATTCATTCGGAGAAGAGTGTTTAGCTACAATTTTGACACTGATATTAGAATCTCTTTTATGATACAAAGTAATAAAATGATATTAATGTATGCAAAGTGAAGAAACTCACCGGCAAAGCTAAGGCCCATTCCAGCGCAGTGCTCAAAGTATCCGCCCATGCTTTCCTGTGGGCTTCGCTGTCTTTATTAACGTTTCTCCTCTGGAATTCCACTTCCTGATTAACGATCGGCTGGCTCTCGGCTGCAGTTGTCTCCTTATCTCCTTCGTCCCGCAAAAAGGGATTCGTCCTGAAGCCACGCTTGCTACGTTCGTAATCGCGCAGCAGTTCGTCTATATTGTCAAGGATCTGCGAGGATTTGCTATTATTTTTGTCCTCCTCTTTGATATCCGTTTTCGGCTCGCAAGACTCGCTGGATGTCGTCCAGGTGGGATGGGTCGTCTCGCGCAATTCCATCACCGATCTCGCCCGGAGATTCGCGGATTTCACAATCATCGACTTGTCCGCGTCCTCGAGATCCGCCGTAGTGATGAATGTTAAGGATTTCCGCCTGGATAACGGACACGCATCTGTGCCGCGTTTTTCCGAATACGATTTCTGATATAAAAAGATTTCGTCGGAGAACGCATTCCGATCGAGCATCTTCACGTTTGCCATGGTTTTCATGGAAGAGGCATCGGTTGACTCTGCTCTCCAGAACGCTTCTAAATCACAGCGGAGATTATCGCTATCGTACATCATATTGGGAGGTGCCGGTGTCACGGCATCGTATTTGGCATCGATATAACCCTCGCTGGAAGTGCCACCAGAGCGATCGAGATAAACGACCTTCTCCGTGACCGAGCCGAGTCTGGACATCGGTCTCGAGTCGTCGGTTTCCGGTTCTGATTGCGGACCGGAATCAGTCGAATATTCCCCGGCCAAGTCCGACAGTCTGAACGGTCTCGGATCATTCTCGCATTCAGCTCCAAGCTCTTCCAAGCCACTTTCGTCATCTAAATTTGGATTATACACGTCGACATCGTCCGGATCGTCCTGATCTTCTTGGTCGTTCGGTTGGACGTCAGGGTCCTCCTCCTCCAACGAGCCGACGGGCGCCGGAGTGCTGGTAGCAAGTCGATCGTTGATAACCTCCTTTCTGGTGATTTCGGGATAATCGTCGGGCTGCGCCACTAGCAAAAATATTTTTCTCTCCGCGAAACTATCGACCTTGGTGTACTTGCCGTCCTCGTCGAGAACCACCTCGACGTAAGTCTCGCAGAGCTCGTCGAAGATCATACGAAGTTGTCGGAGATACTTGGTGAGCTTGCGATGCTTTATATCGTAGACGCACTCTCGATCGTTTAGCCCCGTGCCTAAAATGCTCTTGACCAGTTCCAAGGTCGCGTTTAGCTCCTCTACCTCGCGCGAGCACAGCTCGAAGAGAGTGATGATCTTGATGGTCCACGCAGCGGCCGCCTGACGATATAGATTTGCCGGCTGCTCGAGATTTGCCACCTTCTGCACCAGAAACTTCAGACCGGGCCGACTGTCAAATTTCAGTGCAGCGACGTAAGAGAGATCCAGGATGGAAAGAAAAATTTCCACGTGATACGGATTCAGATGTGACAGGTAAC